TCTCTCTCTCTCTCTCTCTCTCTCTCTCTCTCTCTCTCTCTCTCTCTCTCTCTCTCTCTCTCTCTCTCTCTCTCTCTCTCTCTCTCCCTGTGTGTATGTGTGACAATTTTATATCAGAGCCCCGCAGGTGTGACGTTCCTTTTTTTAAGTGACGGCTGCAGGTAATGTTGTTATGGCCTCTAGACTGCGCTCTGGTATGCTTTGACAATTTCAAGTAAGCTGCTTGCTTGTGCTCACTGCTCAGCCCACAGTATGCTTCAGTAAAAGGCGAAAGAATAGGGCAATGCGCGCAATATTCCCATATTGTACGTCCGCCGTCCGGTACAAGACTACAACAACCCTATGGACTTTTTGATTGCTGCATATTCACACGCAGATACATGAAGATATATAAAAATGCATGTTTGCATACATAAACATACATACGAGCAAACATGGATTTCTGTTTCTGTTTGTGTTCGGCAAATTGGCACTCCGTCGGACTGTGCATTTCAGGCGATTTCTTATAATCCCCCCAGGCTGGTGGTTGCAGCAAAATTCTGATCTGAATGACGGGAGATGTAATCATGTTTTGCAGACCCTGAATTTAACTTACGTAAAGGGGACAAGCCGGATTATCATTTCTCCTGTCTCTCACTCACACATGCATTCATATACAAACGGGGCAATTGCAAAAAAAACAGTTTAACACCTTCACGATGAGCTACATACAACCATATAATATACAACGTCGTCAATGTACACTCATACATACATACATACATACATACATACATACATGCATACATACATACATACACGCTCAGCCGCACCGACTTCCTCCCCCCCCCACCCTTTCCCCAGCACACAGCGAGCGAGAGAGAGCAAAGGACCGAGAGAGGGAGTGGAAGCGGGAGTGGGAGAGGGAGAGGGAGGTAGAAATAGAGGCTGACGTCACCGATGATTGACAGAAAGAAGCAGGCGCCGGCTAGCAGCATTTGAGCTGCAGGGAGCGTACCTCGATCACATCCATGAAACATTCGATGGTCTCCAGAGCGCGCGCGCGCGCGAGAGAGAGAGAGAGAGAGAGAGGAGCCAAAGAGGGAGAGGGAGGGGGAGAGGAGGGAGGGGGAGAGGGAGGGGGAGAGGGAGAGGGAGAGCGAGAGGGAGAGGGAGAGGGAGAGGGAGGTAGAAATAGAGGGTGACGTCACCGATGATTGACAGTGACAGAAAGAAGCAGACGCCAGCTTGCGGCATTTGAGCTGCAGGGAGGGAGCGTACCTCGATCACATCCATGAAACATTCGATGGTGTCCAGCGGGCGTGTCGTTGTCAAATACTTGTGTCCATTCACGAACACTTCCAATCCAGTCCTCCACTTTGCATCGCCCATCTTGTCACGTAACACGTCGGAGAAACAAGCCACCACCATGCAGAAGGTCCGGAGGGCCCGAGCCCTCCACCAACGGGATTGATTGAATTAATCAATTATTCGATTAATCGATTAATCGATTAATCGACCGATCCCTAGACAAACTGATTGCGAGGTCCGACGGCGGCACGGCCGATCGCTTGCTTAACTTGGTCGTGTGGCGAGCCACCAGAGAACGATGGATCGGACGGACGAAAAAAACAAACTGTACACCTCCCCTCCCTGCTCTCTCCTCTGTCCTCAGAGTCTCCCTCCCGTTCCTTGTTCTACTACTTGCTTCGAGAAGTACTACGCTACGTGTCTTTTTTTCGCTTCTCCCTGTGTGTCCTATCGACCCCTTCTTTTGCTTCGCAATTAACAAAGAAGAAGTTTTGCTCACTATTCATTTGCACACGTCATTCTTGCCTCTTCCTCATCTATCTTTTCTCTCTCTCTCTTCTCCACTCTGTCCCCTCCTCGTTCCTCAGCTACGATCTCTCCTTTTCCTCACTTTCTCTCGTCTCCTGTCTTCTCCTCTCCAGTCCTCTCTACCCCCTCACATTACCCGCATGCTCCGCGAGCCGGCTTAAGATGGATGCCCAGCATACCGAGCTGAGACGGCTTCGCTGCGCGCCAAGCGCAATCATACCATCATTGGTTTTTTTTCGTCATGATTCTTCCGGGATACACCGCGAGACGAGTTTGTCTCTCCGTGTCTTCGACACCTGGGATCGCGCGCAGCGACCGACCGACGACTCGGCGCGCAGCTTCTAGCGCCAGCGCCGACTGAATCGCCCCCCTCTACGAGGAGCTTCAAGTTACCCCGCCGCTGTCGGCACTTCCCCTGCCCACTGGCTCGGTCTCGCCGGCCTCGCCCCTCCCTCGGTCCCGACGCAGCCCTGCCTACTTCACCGCTCCGTGTACTTGCTCCTCGCCTGTCCCGACGGGCCGACTTTGCCGTCGTGGGGCTCAACTACCGTAGTTGTTCTATCTCATCCCATTCTTCCTCCCTGCCCTTCCCACCTCTACCCTTCTTCAACTCCCCTCTTGCTGCCGAGTCCGCTGATCTTTGATCTACAGCGGCATTTTGCAGCGGGGGCTAGCGCGAGTCGCGCCCAGCTCACACGCAGCACGTGCGGCGGATCTCCCCAACCTGCCGCAGTAACGAATTGGCGCTAATGCCGCGCAGCTTTTCCCGCTCATTCGCTTTGCGACAGCTGCGATCAAAAGCACTGTACCCCTCCAGCCTTGCCACCTGTCCCCGCCTTGCCGCTCCTCCCGCCTTCTGCTTAGCCCACCCCCGTATAGCAACACGGCAAACTCCGCCTGCTCCGCTTTCCTTCCGTCCGTCCTCACTCCCGCTCGCGCCTGTCTCCCCTCTCTCCTCTCTCGAGGTGCCGTTCTCACCGTCGGATCGGTCTCATGAGACCGAAGGGCCCGAGCGTCTCCCCCACAACCTCCCCCCGCAAAGGGACCCCTGCTATAGGCTCTCTGTAGCTCTCTCTCTTGCTGCGCATTGTACAGCGCATCACAGCGCAGCGCTGGTCCCGCGCACTGATGACATATATGCTGATAACGAGTCCTGTTTCCCTGCGGCGGCTGTCAGACCACTTCTCGGCCGTTCTAAGCTCTTCACTTCTCATTACCTCAGGTCAGGATAGGTCAGGTCTGGTCAGGTCGTTGCCGGCCATTGCAGATGAGGTGAGCTAAGGTTCCGCTTCGGTGATAGATGGAGCGCGTAGGAGAGCGTGCGACAACGAATAAAAGATGGTAGGGAACCTCGCGGAGTTTCCCTTTTTTTTTTCTTTTTTTTTACAGACACGAGTTCTTTTTTTATTCCAAATCCAACTTTCGAGGCCGGGGACCTCACAATTCAACCCGGAGTTATCCTGGCAGCGTCAGCCAGTTTCGCTTAGTTGTCACTTGAGTCATCTGCCTCCCTCATCTGGGTTTGTTCCTTCCTATCTCCTGGCTATTAGCCATGACGTGGGTTACTACTTCAATCTTCCTTTTCTCGTCTCGATTACCTGTCAAGCACATCTATTCAACCTCCTTAGGCCTCTGCCTTCTCCTATCTGTGCTGTCCTAGCCCTCTAACGTGTTTTTTTTTTTCTGTTTTCCGTTCGTTTTTTCTCGATTTATTTATGCGTGTCATCCTGGCGTTTTTTCCGTTCGTTTTTTTTTTTTTTTCTTTCCTTTTATAAGGGCGACGGCCTTGAGATATTATCATTGAGCTGACCGGCCCCAAGCAATTCATTACTCGTCAAGGTCCATCGTCTGGATTCGAACACAGGTCTGTATTTCCGTTCGTTTTCGCCGATAGGGTTCTTCTTTTTTCGAAAAAAAACAAAACAAAATAGTATAGCCTTCTTTTTCTGAAAGATTTGGCGTTTCAAGGGGATTGCCGTAATTTTTTTAGAGATCTCCATCTACCTACCTACAAGTGCGCAGCTGTTTCCCGCAAGGGCGTAGCTTCCCTTCCCTTCCCTCCGTGCTTTCCCGCCCTACCGGTAGTCGGATGGTTCCAGATATCTCCGCGCTCTTGGCGCCATCTATTAATAGAAGCAACAGCGCCGCGCCACTTTTCCCGCGAGTCAACGACCGAAAAGTCACAAGATCGCAAAACCAGGAAGAACTTTCACGTACCACCGTTCGGAAACGCTAGCGATGCAGATCCCCCACATCGCCGCTCCCTCCCCCTCCTCCCTCCCTACCTCTGCATTCTCTGCTGCCGCGCATTCTCCGCTTCAAAAAGATACCCCGCTCCACTTTCCGCATTCACCCTCCGCCTTCGCGCAGTGTTCCTTCCTTCTCCGTTCTCTTCTTTCGGGCGCGGCTCGTTTTTTTCTTTTTTTTTAGTTAGGGCCAGATCCCACTGGTAAAGAGGGTTGGAATAAGTGCCCGAATGAGGACGCGTTCCACGCAGAGATGCAGAAAAGCAGATCATTTACAGTTTTTTGCACCTCTCCACAAACACTTCCAGATTCAGACACTTACTCCAATCGTTTTTGCCAATGGGATCTCTCCACAAACACTTCCAGATTCAGACACTTACTCCAATCGTTTTTGCCAATGGGATCTCGCCCTAAGCTACATGCTTCTCTCAATTTCACTAGCGCGGGGGCCAAGTCGCGCTACCTGAATCTGGATGTTTTGCGGAGATGTGCAGAAATAGTGTTGAGTTTCCTGAACTGCACGTCTCCCCAAACACATCCAGATTCAGACGTTGAGGTAGCTCAACGCTGCTAGTGGGACTTGGCCCCGGCTCACGTTTGACGTGCCTATGGCGCCGTGAAACTGAGCCCGCTAATAACTCACCGAGAATGTGACCGTTATCCTCTGCATACCCCGTCGACCGCTACGTCCACCCTAAAAATGCATTCACAATCACGAGTCGCCGGCTGGCGCCACCACTGGCCAAATATGGAGAATAACGGGCGCATTTTCTTTTCCTTTTTTTTTATATAAAGGTAATCTATATTCTTCTCTCAGAAAGGGAGGCGCAGCTACTGGCAAAATGCTCGGTCTTTGCGTTAGCCGGACCCCCACCGGCAGCCCCACCCCATTCCTGACTACCGCTGTTGGGGCCGGGGGCAACATGAATTACCTCGCTTGCGAGGCCCTATGCTTGCAGGGGTCCCCTCTATATAGTCTTAGTAGTGGTAGGAAGGTAGTGAAAGGTGAAAAAAGAATTTGGAAAAAAAAAAAAAATCATTTTTCTTGGTAGTACGCATCTATCTCATCTCTCACTAGTCTATTTATAGTACGGGTGTGATGAACCACTTCCCGAACCCGTGCTATCTTTCGTACCCCTTTTTGCTTGTATCATACCAACCCCATAAAAACCCCGTTTCGTTTTCTTGATTTTGGCTCTCATCTTTCGGAAGCTTTTTCGACTCCCGGGTTCCGCTTTTCCTTTCTGTAATTCAGGAAATACGTACGAAATTACGTGCGCCTTAGCGAGCGCACTGGGAATTGGGCTCGGCAGTTGGGAATTCTGGGATAAGCGGAGCATCGACGTGTCCTTTTCGTGTGTGTGAATGTTCTTGGTCGCGTCGGGGAAAACTCTCGGAATTTTGTGCGAATACGAATAGGCATAGGATTTTCTTTTCCCGCGTCGCTCTTTCGCGCGCGGATATGGTGATTTCAATTTTGAATTAGGCTGTAACTGTTTCGGTGCCTTTTCCTCTCTTTTTGTTGACGGCGCCGCGCACGCAAAAGCTCTCTCCTCTCTGCCCCCCCCCCCCGCATCGCTCCCTCCCGCGCTCCCTTCCCCTTCTCCGTCCACTTTCTCTCTCCCCGTAACTGTTTTTTTTTCTCTCTCTCTTTGCACGCCCATTTCCCTTTCTTGATCATCTTAATCTTGGACCCGTCTTGCGCTACTTCTCGCGCCTTTTCTCTTCTCACCCTCTGAGTCCAACGCACGACGCCCGGTCGATCCGTCGATAACTCTCGCTAGCCAATCAGGTGCGTGGATCAATAGGATCTTCCTATTGCGGGACGAATCTGATTGGTTGAACCTTGAGTTCCGAGGGATTTTACATGGCGTTCACAGAGCACTCTTTTCAAAGTCTTCTCTTCCTGCTTCTCCTCTTACACCTCAGCTTCCCCGTCGCTTTCTCCCCCTTCTGTCTCCCTTGTCGCAACTATAAAACCCGCAAGTGCGCCCGCAAATCTCTCTTACGTTCTCGACTCTCAAGCCAGCTTCCGAGAAGCAGTGGCTAGGCAGAATGTTTGATGTGAGTCGGGAAGTCCTGTCGGGCTGACGATAGGCTGGCCGGTTGCGCGCTGGATGGCCATGACGGATTGTGGGATCTGGGCGAACCGTGTCGAGTCTGCGATAGCGGGGTGACGATCGCAATGGTGGGAGTTAGCACGTGGCGGCCGGGATCGTCGGTGCGGGTATGAGGTTCGATGATTGGAGTTGAGTGAGTGATTGGCCCGAGGCCATATTGGAATTAACAGCGAATGCGCCATTGTTGTTGCGGATCTTTCTCTTTGACAACGTTGAACTTCCTTCTCTCAAGTTTGGGTTGCGTCATCTCCTATCTCGACTCTCCTCCCTCACCTTCCCCTTCTCCTCTATCTTTGAATAATGATGTGTCTCGATGCTTCTCTCCTTCTCTCCCCTTTCCCTCTTTTGGATGAGCATGAATCTGTATGCTTTCCTTGCGTGAAAGAACTTTCGAAACTCTTCCATTAGTTTCATGGGTAATCCTCCTACGCAAGGACCCTGTCATCTTGTCTTGTGAACAGTGGATGCGTGTGTACTGTGCAAGCAATCCATCTTTTCCTGTGCATGACTCATTTTTCGCACCTTCCACAGTGGATGTATGCATGGAGATGTGTAACCCTTTTTTTTTGCGTTGATTAAACGATTATCGTCGGGATTTTGTTCGAGAATGCAAGAGTGTTTAGGTCTGTAAATCTGAATGTATTGCGCATGCCATCTGCCTTATGGTGCACGACATCAGCAGCCGAGCTACAAGGCGGCCTCGAGAAACAAGGCGCCTGGGATCAACGCCGCGCTGGCTCACTAAACCTGAGTCGCGGATCGGTCCCTTAGTTATATGCATGATCAAGCTGCTGAAGTGTCTTCTTTCTCTCTCTCTCTCCCTCTCTCTCTCTCTCTCTCGTGTTGAAAGAGATTGTTTTTGAGTTGTGCGAGTGTTTTCTTTTCTTGATGACGTCGCAAGGTCTTTACAATTGATTGATATGTGGATTGACGAGTACCCTCCGATCGGGCACCAGCCCCCCGTACCTCCCGTCCCAACACGGCCTTTTCCCTACAACGAGGGAAGGACACGTGTATGTGAGTGGGACGTACGAGAAGCCGTTGCACAAATCGGCGGACGATACTACTTCCCTCCGGCAAATCGTTGTTCAGGGTTCGTAGAGGCTGGGTTTGTCATTATCGATACGCACTTCCCACCTTACTCGATATTGTTGTCATTCAACGAGTTGATCGTCATCCCATGGATGGCAGTAAAACCCCACTGGTCGTGCATAATATGCACCGAATGCCAACGTTTTGAGCGCTACGAATCCAGGGGTTTCCACTACCGTGTGCGGAGTGAAGACGACCATAAAGAAAGAGCCACGCGACTGAGACCATCCACGTCGGACTCGGAACTAACCAGCGAACGAGGACGGGATTTGATACGAAAACGAGACACGCGGAGCGTGCCAAAGCCTTTACGTTCTAAACGACGGGCTGTAGCCCGGTGGGAAGCCCGACAATACTTTTTGGATTGAATTTGGATTTTTCTCTTTTCGCATCGT